ATGGCTTGTTCTTTTATTTTTAAGATGTTATTAAGATTTTAAACTCATACTAAAGACATCAATCATCAAATACATCGGACTTACTGGGTCAGCCCCCTACTACATGTCTTTTAACATTCTATAGTCATATTCAAATCCATTTTTAATAACTTAAAAACATCTTTAAGTCTAAGCCAAGTCCTGTTTCTCCAGCCAATAATAAAAAAATCCCAAGTTTGATACAGGTCAGTATCTTCTTTCTCCTTCAGTGATAAGGTCAATCTATCCATTTCTGCACAGCCCAGAATCTTTTTTAGAATCAGTTAATCGGTGGGTAATTCCTCACTTTTCCAGTGTTGAGCAATTGCAATCCTCGCCGCTGTGATTACATGTAACATCAAATACATTTCTTATTTGCTAATATCTTCCAGTATAATGCCTAATATGAAAACTTCAGGTTTAAAAGCTAAGGGTTTTTGTAGCATTTCCTCAAGCCATTTATGTATTTTAATCCAATACTTTTTTGCATTGTCACAGGTCCACCACATAAAGTACCCACTTTATGTTTGCATTTCCAGCATCCATTTGACATATTTGGAAACATCTTAGCTAATGGATTTGACAACAGATACCATCTATAAAACATTTTATATAAGTTTTCTTTATACAAAGTTGCTAATGTTACCTTAATATTTCTCTCCCATAGCTTTTGCCACTTTTCTAATTCAATATTATATCCAAACTTTTGCGCCCATGTTATCATAGTTTCCTTAACCTGTTTCTCTTCCATTTTCCTGTCAAGTAAAAAATCATACAATTTTTTAATCATTTTCTCATCTGATTTAAGCATTGTTTGATTAAATGCTGTTAAGTCCTTATAAAACCTCCATGCTTTACAATCTTTAGCATATCTCGATTGCATCTGCACCTTATGCCACCAAGAGATATTAAATCCCTGTTCTTGTATTTCTTGATCTAGTTTCAGGCCTCCATCCTTATCCAAAATATCATCATATCTTATAATCCCTTCAAAGTTCAATGCATTTGATATACAAAAGCTTCCATAGGTGAAAGCCATCTTGGTAGTTTATTATACAATTTTAGCTTTAACTTTTCCCACACCAACATTAATGATCTTCCAATAAAGTGACTTAAAAAAGACCCATGTGACTTAGCCTTCTCATACCACGTATAAGCATGTCAACCCATTTGCAAATAATGACCTTCAAGATATAAATTTCTCTTATTTTGCAAAGTTATCCATTCTTTTAGCCAAGTTAAAACAGACGCTTGATAGTACAACATCCAATCAGGAAGACCAAAACCACTGTTCTTTTTAGCTTCCTGAACTATTTTTAATTTAATCCTTGGTTTCTTCTTTCTCCAAATAAATCTCAAAATTTGAAAGTTTAGATCATCAAAGAATTTTTTTATCAATTTTTACGGGAATCATTTGGAATAAAAACAAAAGCTTAGGTAGTGTATTCATTTTAACAAGTGCTATTCTTCCCATCAACGATAATTGTAAATTGGCCCATTTTTCCAGATCGCCCTTAATATCCTTCAATAGTTTATCATAATTATCTTCTTTCAAAGTAGTACATTTGGCTGTAAGATAGATTCCCAAATACTTAACCTTTTTAACAATCTGCAATCTCCAGTCTATTTGTTCCTGGAGTCTTTTTTCTGGTCTTGTGTAAGATTTTTAACTAACAGTTTTGTTTTTTCTTTATTTTCATCCCCGTAACCTCACCGTATTCTTCAATCCGTTGTAAGAGTTTAGGCATTGTTACAAAGGGTTCCTCCTTTATGAAAACCAAATCATCTGCAAATGCTTGTAATTTATAACTTTCATCCCTAATTCTAGCACCTTTAATGTCCTCATCATCCCTGATATTTCTGTTCAGCACCTCTAAAATCAGAATAAACAACAGGGGAGAAAATGGGCATCCTTGTCTTGTACCCTTTTGCATCTCTATAGTCCTTGTAAGTTCTCCATTAATTAAAATCCTGGCCGACTGTCTTTGATAAATGCTTGATATCGCATTCATAAACTTTTCACCAAACTCCATCTGTTGCTTCATAAATTGTCAATTAACATTATCAAAGGCTTTCTGGGCATCCATAAACAGTAAAGCCATTGGTTTTTTCATATGTATTTCATAATATTCTAAGATATCCAAGATAGTTCTCAGATTGTTCTTCATTTGCCTTTTGGGCAAGAAGCCATTTTGGTCTGGGTGAATAAAGTCTATTAAAAACTTTTTTAACCTTTCTGCCATTATAGAGGCAAAAATTTTGTAATCCACATGTAATAATGATATAGGTCTGTAGTTTTGGATCTGTGTTAAATCCATATCTTCTTTCGGTATTAGTGTAATATTTGCCTCTGTCCAAGTAGTTGGTATTTTAGCATTTAACAGTGCTTCATTACATATATCTTTAAGAAATGTAGCAAAAACTTCCTCAAAGATTTATAAAATTCAGCTGGCAGTCCATCCGGGCCAGGGGTTTTATCATTCTTTTGCCGCATAATTGCCTCTATTACTTCCATAGTTGTTACATCTTGGTTCAATATTTTTTGATATTTCTCCGGTAATTTTGGTAAATCTCCATTTCGGATGTATTCTTTTACTTTCTCAGTTGAAATCTCATCCTTCTGGTATAACTTTGTGAAAAAGTCTTCCACTATTTTCTTAATTTGTATACTTTGTACCTGTAGTCGTCGTCCTCTGTCTTTCAATTTCGAAATCAGTCTCTTCTCTCTTTCTTTACTTTATAGGCTAACCATCTCCCCAGTTTATTAGCATTTTCAAAGAAATTCTGTTTGGCCAGTTTCATTTGCTTAGTAAGTTCATTTCTGTGCAAGAGATTCAATTTATGTTTTAAAATACTCATTTGGACCTTAGATTTTTTTGGATGGATCTTCCTGCAGTTCTTGTTCCCATTTCATCAGTTCCTCTACTGTTGTTGCTTGCTTTTGCTTTTTATTTATTTTTGCTGAATATTATGTTATCAAACCCGACATAGGCTTTAGCTGTATCCCAGACATTTTGTAAAGAAGTTTCTTCCGCTTTGTTTATTTGAAAGAATACTTGCATTTCTTTATCTCTTCTGTAAATTTTTTATCTTTTAATAGCACTTTGTCTAGGCTCCATCTGGGCGTCCTTACAGTTCTTTTCAATGATACAGATACAGGGTTGTGATCTGCCCAGACATTTGCCTCTGTTTCAGCTTCTATCAAGTCTGGTACTAAGTCTGGAGTTATCCAAACCATATCAATTCTAGACCATGACCTATATCTGTTTGAGTAAAAAGAATATTTGGCAGCAGTTGGATTTTTATGCCTCCAAGCATCTATCAATCTGAATTCTTCAATCATGTTGGAGCAAGACTTTGGAAGTATCCTCCTACCCATTTTCCCCTTAATCTCACTCTTATGATACATTTCCTTATCCACAATTGCATTGAAATCTCCCATTACACACATAGTCTGATAGTCCACTTGCAAAAGTAAAGTATGTAATTTTTGGTAAAAAGTTTCCTGATGGTCATTTGGTGTGTATATTGCCACTAAGAGCACCTTTTTGAATTTCATTGTAATTTCAACCATCAGGATCCTACCATCCTCATCAGCAAGAATATATTTAGGGTCCAGTTTTTCTTTAATATATAGTGCTAAACCTCTTTTCTTTTCAAAAGCAGAAGATACAAACAATTTTCCAAGCTTTGAACATTCCAGAAATTTAACATGTTGCTTCTTGATATGTGTTTCTTGTAAACAAATTATACTAAATTTTGTTTTAGATAAATACTTCCATTTATATGGAATTGAACCCCACTGAATTCAGCAGAAATTATTTCTAAGTAGGCATGTATAGGACTGTGGTGTCAAGACAAAAGCACTTCTTATTGTGGGGTTTTTTTTTTCTTTTTTTTTTGGTAATATTTTGCTGTGACTCTCACCTGGTGGCACAGAATTATATTTTGAATGTCTCTTTCTGGCATGGGTAAATAAAAAAATTGCTATAGTATAGCTGGAACACATAACTTGGTCCATTGCACCTTCAGGAACTCCAATTATTGTTGGTACATTTCACTTCTTACTCTAGGGAAGTGTAAATAAGCTGCATGCTCTATTTCACAGTTGCTGTTTACTATTTCTAGCTTGCATGTGCATGAAATGACATGTAAATTACCATTATTTTAAAATCTATATATTCACAGCAAAACAACTTTTCAAACTTAAAGATGTTGTGGCAGGAATAGTAACTGACTAAATTTTGCTAGAACGGAAGAAACTACTTTATCTATAGTCAATTAGTTGCATGTGACCCCAGAAAGTATGGTTATTGGGTTTAAAGAAACCAAAAACTTAAACTACAGTTTGAAGTCAGTTTCAAATCTCTTCTTGTTCTGAACCTGGTAACCATTGTTTCCCAATTTAGACAAAATGGGAAATTAGCTCTGACATACCAAGATGAAAGGAGGATGAGGTTGCATGCCCACACACAAGGCTCATTCACAAAATAATTGTTGCTTGGTAAGCAACAACATAATCATTACAACTGAAGCACTGACTTTGTGAGCTTGTCTAAGGACTTGTAGTATATCTTGGATCTTCCCTAGCTGTGAATATAGGTCTTCAGCCTGCTATACACTGATGCATATCGTTTCCCTTACTTTTAAAACTGTTACTGCTGTGTTTGTCTCAGTTTAGGAAACTATTTACTTGAAGGAAAACATAAAATAAAGAAGTAGGTATGCTGCATTTCTTCTTCAAAATTAAAATGGGCGTACCTTTCACGCTTTAACCATGAACCAATTTTTGTGAGGATGATTATGCACATTTATTGAACACACAAATGGATTTTCTCTGAGTTTTTGGATTTTGGCATATAGCAAAATGTACTTTCTCTGTGGTTGCCCAAATATGTTTAGATCATCCTTGTTCATATTTGAATTTGGTGGTTTCTAAAAGACCACAAATATATTCACACTGGTTTTCTCTTTTTCCCTAGTTACAATTACCTCAACTGGAGAAAAAGGTAGGAATATTTCTGTATATTTAAAAGTATGTTTTAAATTTTATTTTCTCAGATTTTGTACATACGTACGTACATATCTGAGCTTTAACATTAATGTTGCTAAATTGTTTAGGTGCTTTCTTGTTTGAATTTTAAATTCTGATTATGTAAATGTATGAAAATCATGTTATTGCACAAATTTTCCTTGTATGTTCTGTGTCCCTGTATGGGGAAATTTTGCTCCGCCCTATGAGGAAATTGCTCCTTCACTGGGCATTCCCACATAATGGAATTTCTTGGTTATACAGATGCTGATATTTCTGGACCTGAGAAATTCTCTGCAATGTAACTAAAGAGTTTTACAAACTGACTCCCGCCGCCACCCATTTGGTTAAATTTCTAAACCTCCTAGTTGCTGATACAAGATGCTTAATTGTGAAATGAATACCAACACTAGAGACCAGATGAACAATTAAGTAATCCATTAAAGGAATATTTTGTACAGAAGGGATTACTATTAATTACAATCTTGAAATCATTGGAATTAACTCAGAGATAAGGTAAACTAATATAGCTATGATTTTAAAAAAATCCTTGATTTATTTTTGAAATAAACAGCCAAGTACCTATACACTTTGTTCGGTAGCCATCAATTCTGAAAAGCCTTGGGAAGCTGATAAGCAAATTCAAATAAATTTAGCAGGCATACACCTGGCCTTTCATACAGTGAAGCTCTGCATCTTCAGGAGTAGGATTTGTTAGTTTTTCCAAGAAAGTATTGTAAGTTGCTTATGATTGTTCACCTGCAGGCCCTCTGCATCTTGTCTTGTCATTGTAACAAATTAGGACAGAAAAGGGAAGAAATGCTTTTGAAGAACAAAATGTAGAAAGAGGCAGCCAATCTTCAGCAGGTGTTTATTGTAAAGAATCTAATTTCCTTGATAGTTGATGAGTAATGAGAAACAGCAGAAGCTTAACTGATTGCCTTTCAGATATTACTAAATGTGTGTGTGTGCGTTACTACCTTAAAAACATTTTCCAAAATTGCATAGCTGCACTACAGACTAGTATACATTTTCTATCAGTTTAACTCCCCTCAAGAGTTCTGTAAGTTATAGTTGAATTAAGAATCTGAGAATTCTTATCACAGATGGAATAATTGTACACTAAATTACAATTCCTTGGAGTAGAGGTCCACAGATTTTGTTTGGACATGGTAGTCAAAAACAATTCTGTGCCACAAGTTCTCTCAACACATGCAAAATGCATTTTTCTTTCCATCTAACAAGTGGCACCTTGCCCTTGCCACCAAATTAAGGAGATGAGCTAATGGCATAAATAGATTCATATTGCATGAGCCTAAGTCATCTGTGGCTGTCTTTCTGAAAGTAAAACATTGCCTCTGTTTCCCCAGCGAGCATCTGTAGTCATTCCTTTTCTCCCAAAGAAATCCATTCCAGATTTTTCATCATTTATTTATTTATTTCATTTAATTTCTGTAATACCCCATAGCTGAAGCTGTCTGGGAGGCTTACAACCATGTATAAAATAAAACAAAACAAACACAATACAAATAGCATAAAACAGCAGCAGCTTCCCTTCAGGATTCAATATTAATAGTTGCTTTGTTTATTTTCTCAGTCAACCTGCAGAGGATAAAACAAATTGAATTTTTTTTAACTTTCTTTTGTAGAAAGTGGAAGAATCAGAGAGAAGCCAGTTGCAAATGGGGTCAGGAAATTGAAAAATGATATTGAAGTAGAGTTGTAAGCAACTGAGGGAAGTTAAAGGAAGACTTGAAATTGTCTTATCCACATCCAGTCAGTTAATCAGTTAACAAAGTAAACCTTACTGTTTTTTAAAACTGTTGGTATGTGGGGCAGGATTGGTAAACTGAGGTATTTGGATGGAACATATCATCAAGGCAAGGGGTGAAAGCTCAGGATGCAAACAGTTTTTAGTAGCAATTCCTGTGGAATTCCAAAAGAAGAGTAATGACCATGGAAGCAAAAGGGACTATGTGAGAGAAGTAGTACTGAGCAGAGAAAGGCAGAGAACCTAAAAGATAGTGCTGGCCAGCATTAATAAGAAATGGATGCCGTTAAATGGTATTCAAAACTAGAGCAAGCAACAGCTTGTCTCCCAAACCTGCCCCAAGATTTTCTGGCGGCCTAATTTAACTGCTGCAATGCATCATCCTTCCCTGAACATTCTTTTTGCCAAGATGATGAACTGTTTAATCCTTGTTCTATAGGTAAGTGGGTTTGCTGAATCAAAGAGAATATCTATTTAACCAGTTTAAGCCCATGGTGTGTATATTTTCCAGGTGTTCTACTCATTTCAGGCTTCAGTATTACCTTGCTATGCTATTTAGATACATTCTCAAACCGTGCATCCACATGTGAGAAACCTGTCCCTGTTACAGAATGTGTATTCTGGTCTATATTGCTAATTTACCTTTCTTACTAATGTTGTTTGGCTAAATGTTGCCACTTGTTTTCTTCTTCCACCTGTGATGTCTATTACTGTTCTTCCTGTTCATTTTTTCTGTACTGCAACCATTCCAGGTGTATGTTTGATTTCTTCCTTTTCATGTTCCATAGCTTCAGCAATTCTGTATGGGAATTGATAATGTTTGTAGTAAAACAGTTTCTTCTTCAACACCACACCTAAAAAAGTAGGGTTCTTTCTTCTAAAAGAATCTAGCGAAATATGGAGAATTATGGTTCTGCATGTACCACTTCACCAGTGCTGCAACTGGAGCCCTGTAATACTGTCTAAGGCTGCCTTTCCAAGGAAGAAGCAACTAGGCTAGGATTCTGCATGAAAAATCCTGGTAAAGTAGGATTAGCAGTAACTTTGCTGCTGATGCCTTCAGTTCAAAATTCAGTTGAATTTATGCTTTTGAATTATGAGTTCAACACTTAAACCAAAGTTAAACTAGGGCTTTTGTAAATTAAATGTAGATTATTTAATTTAAATAATCTCTTCTTCATAAATTCTGAAATATTGAGCCCAGATTTGACAGTAGACTCTGTAATTGGGTGACTCTTAATCTCAGTTAATGACCATTTAAACATTCTTAAAAATATGCCATTTGCACTTTCAAAAACAGCTTTTAAGCATTACTTTCCATTGTGGTAATATCTTGTGAGCAATTTAGATTTTCTATAACTTGATTTTTAAAGGCAGTCAGAGGACAATGTAGTAGTGTGTACATGTTGCCTTTAGGGCAGGTGGAATACCCTAATGTTTCTGGGATTGTGCTAAAGCTTAATTGTATATCTTCTTAAACTTTTATCCCTTACCAGCTTGGGAAAGTAGGTCAACATTTTCTCCTTTGGTATAAGAATGTGACAGAAGGAGTATCATTAAATAGTCAATGTCATGCAACATTCTCTCCATACCACCATCAGTTGGCTGCAGAAGGTGCTTTCTTTCACCATTCCTAAGATTATTTTGCAGATGTGTAGTAATAGAAATTCTTGAGTGAGTGATAGCATACCAGCGTCTCCTGGATTTAGGAGATAATAGCAAGCCCTACTAATTAGTATTCTGCCATCTTCTTAATATAGCTTAAATGTGTCTATTTAAGAAACCAGATTGGCTTAGAACATTAAATCCAAAAAAGAACTGGTTGACATACTCATAAATGATGTGGGAAGGCCTGAAAAAACATGAAGGAACGTGCTTCTTAGTTTCATTGCATGTAATCCACAAACAAACTTGAGCTGATTTTACCAGCAGAGGCATCTAAGCCATGGTAAACCCAGACATACCTGGGATCTTGGGCAAGTCACCAGACCTGCTCCATTCCCTGCTAGAATTATAAATGCTCTGACCAGGTACAGCAGCGTCAGTGGTGTCAAGCATCTCTTGCACCATTCCTAGCCTTGTCAGTTCTCAGCTGCCTATGTTGTTAGACAGTGTTATGTAAATACTTGTATCTCAATGGTAGACAATAGGTTTATGGTTTGCATGTTTTTTGAGTGGTTATTAGCTCACTTTGGTCTGAGATTAGGTGAGGAATACTTTCTGGAAAGAGTATTTCATGTTTAAAAGTCACTAAAACTTCCCCAGATAATAGCTTGAAACCCCAATTTTAATAGCAATTTAAAAGCCATATGAGGCAATTCATAATCTCATGCTATATTTTAAGCACCAAGTACTGATACTTAAATGTAGAGTATTGTCTTCAGGGTGATGTTAGATTTTACTTCTCTGCATTACTACTCTCAGTATGCCATAAACATCACCAGTTTATCCTTGCTATTCCATATATAATCGGACTGGTAGGTACTTTAGTCAGCAAGCAGCTATTTTATGCCAGAGAGACGGCATGGCAAAAGGCTAGTATAAAAGAAAAGTTGAAAAACTTGTGTAATATTATTAAGGCAACAGTTTCTTTCTTGGTCACTCCTGAACATTCTGTGTAGTGTATTTTCCTCATCTGTTGGGGTAATCTGGAAATTCAGCAAGACAAGGATCCTGTAGGACAGGGATTTTCTAATTCCTTTGAAAATTTTGTCACTTTACTAAGTATATCAATCAAGTTATGAAGGGGCCTGTCAGTTTATGTTAATTGCCTTTAAAAGTAAAAAGAATTCTTTCATTTCGACCAGAGGAAGTAAAAATTTGCAATTGGAAATACAATTAAACCATTACACTAATGGGCACACTGGACAAATTACACATTACATCTAATTGGTAGCATGTAGCTACCTGTTCTTTTTTACTTATATTAATTTCATGTCTCTGAGGTTGTCCTTACCAAGAATGTAATCCACAGGAATAAGCCTATCCTCCACATTGTGATTTGACCACCCCATCCCATATGTGAAACTAGGAAACCTTGGGAAACTTTTCCTAAATATTCTAGCAATGTTAGTTGAGGGTGATTTTAGTTTGATTCTCCTGGAGAAAAAAAGAGATGTCTTTCCTCTGCACATTCTTATTAAGGACTATGTACAGGAATATGCAGCTGTAATTAATGAAGGTGAAAAAGGAATTATAGCTATATCCTATAAAATTAAGCATAGCATGCAGCTGTTTCTAAGATAACATACTGGAAAAAAATTAGTTGTAGAATCATAGTGTATAAAAAGCAGCAGGAGAGGCAGTGCTATTCCTTAAACTGATATGCGTAAACTAATTTAAAAAAAACAAACAGATCCCATCCCAGATGGAGAGTTTACCTAACCAGCACTGAAAACAAGTCAATGCAGGACATATGACAAGGAGATGAAATGTTAAGAGCAAAAAGAAGAAACTTAGTGTATTTAATCCAGAACACTGTTTAAGTCTGCATTCATCAGTTATTGCAAAGGGGACCAATGAAGAAATATGGAGGCATTGGTTTGGTACTGCAGATATAGACCAAACATTATCAAGACTGTGGGAATGGCTGGTTACTAGATATTTTAGAAAAACTGCTGATTTTTTATCATTATTATTATTTAAGAAGCAGTGAAATGAACACCTGGGAATAAGTAACTCCTTTTTTTGGCAAACATGTTGAATCGCTTAAAATGAAGAATGTTTTGATGTAACTCTTTGACACATCACATTTTCCATTTGCACTCTATAAATATTTCTTCTAATTAGGTGCATGGTAATTGGTTAATCAGCTAATGGGTGGTATAAAATTTAGTTATTAAAATGTCAAATTACAGCTAAACAGAACCTTTATGCTACCTGGGTGTATTATTAATTATTTCTTAAATATGTTTACTATTTTAGAAAATAAGAAAATACTGTATATTATTAGCATTTGCTTACTATTTGCTTATTCTATCAAGCAGCATTAGAAAAAAATGTATGTTTATTTAAAATAAAGATTTATTTTCTGCTTCTCTTGCTGTCTGTACAGACCTGTGAGCAAGGCAACTGGACTAAGTACTCAGAATTATCCTAAATCAAACTTTTAGGAAATAAGTATTTTTCCATGGGATATACTTTTGGTTGGTAGTGATAAATATCCTTAATTTAAGTATTAAGCTAGGTGCAGAGCCAAAATACTTAAGAGGATATAAACTGGAAGCATCACTCAGATTCAGTTAATATTCCTAGTGCAATACAAGATAGCATATCCTTGAGCAGTGACTGGATCTAAATGCCTGTGCTAACTTGCCAATTCCAAAGCCTATAATAATAAATATAGTATATGATCTACTGAGACATATTTATAATGGTTAACCTCAAATGGCAGATATTTTATCCGTGATTCATTATTTCCATAGGAAAGTAGTTCTTAGCTCAGTGGCCCAATTTAGACATCACACCAAGCTGTCAAACAACACCTCAGTACATAGTTTTGTACCTTAGTTTTGACTTCTAACTGTTGGGCAAGCCCTCATCTAGACCTCTCTTTCTGAGTGTGTTTTCTGTCTCCTTGGCACTCCCATTTCTAGATATCTTATCCCTGATTCATTATTTCTATAAGAAAATAATGGCCTCTTCTGATGGGACCTCAGCTATTAACAATGGGCAGTATCCAGTGCTGCCCCTGCATAACCAGTTGTGCTGGACCAGCAACACCCAGTGCCATCACAAAAGGAAATTAGCACTTCCTAGAGCAACCCTGTAAACAAGACAAAATGAGCTTTTCCACAATGAAACAGACCAACGTAGCTCCCATCTGGGAGCCTCACTGATGTGTTCTGTTTCGTTATGTACATGAGCATTTTGCTTCATTTCCAGGATTATTCTGGGGAACTCTAGCTTCTCATTGTGCAAGCAGCAAGGCCTGTTAGTGCATGGGCAGCACTGGATACTCCCCTAGGATTTATTAATGCACACAAAATGGTGAACTATCACTGACCTGATTCACATGATTTAAAAAAACCACTACAGTTTATTTATGTAAGCCATGGTAGCATATTTAAATTGCAACACATGACAGGCATATACAGGGTAGAATTTTCATCATCACTGCCCAGCTGCAGCTTGGATTGTGTGAACTCAGGCCACATTCATTCATTCATGGTTTTTGTATGCCATCCCAATTACTAAAAAAGTCTCTGGGCAACATGGCTTGTTGGAGAGGAAAACAAACTTTTAATCACCCTATAGCGATTCATTTAGCACTATGATTTAAATAATCTGCCTTGGCCTACTTTGATTATGCAAACCAGACAAAACTTTGCATACGAGCCCACTTCAAACCGTGGCTTCTGATTCTGGTTTTTACTCATTTGGATCTCATACTAATTTTTTGTTAAAACTTCATAAGCCATGCTTTGGTATGATAACTAATGTCTGATTTGCAGTGGAATATTTGAAAATAAGTTAGGAATTTACTTTTTAATATAGAAATTCAAGTTTTGTTTCGACATGTTTGAACTTAAGTCAGTCTGTTTTAAAACATAAATCCTACTATATTGAAAATCAAATGCATGTTTCACTATCTTACTTAGTTTAGACAAAAAACCCTACACCTGTCCTGGTAGAATCCCTCGAAAGTATGATTCAATAATGATTTGTTCAGAACTGACCAGATTAGAATGCTGTGTGCTATTCTGTGATAGTACTGGCCATTTATTTTGTCAATACAATGAAGAAAAACAAAGGTTTTTTACACACTACGCCATTGCATTGTTAATTGTTCTGATTAGCTGGACTCACTGAAACCTTATTTATATTTTATTTTTATTGCAGTTGTCTACCTTGTGATTTTTCATCTGTCGTTTGTCATGTTTGTGTGGTCCTATTGGAAGACTATTTTTACATCACCTGCCTCCCCTTCCAATGAGGTAAATGTTAACATTGGCAAGTGGTGCCATACTTTCTATTGAATTGTTTTTGCTACTGATGTTTGCTTTAAAATATGACATGGCTTTTTGTTTGTTTGTTTTCATTCAATAAATAATGCAGTAATGCTATGTATACAAATCATAAAATTGTTTCTAAAATAAACAACTTCTTCTGGCTAACCTTGGATTTCATGATTATGAGTGTTAATGGTTTAGATCAGGGGTCCTCAAACTTTTTCAATAGGGGGCCAGTTGAAAGGTGGTGGCGACCCAATCAGGCTGGTGAGGCAGGGATGCCTGGGTGTGTGGGCTGGTGAGGTGGCGTCAGGCACATGCTGCGGCGGCTCGCTCACTCGGAGATCTCCCAGCGAGTCCAAAACCTTCTCCGAGTGAGCAAGCCTTCCCCACCCGCGTGACGAGGCAGCACGCGCAGTGGCGCAGGCCGGATAAATGGGCATGGTGGGCCAGATCCTTCCCACGGGCCGTAGTTTGAGGACCCATGGTTTAGATTGTCAAAACGAAATAATCCAATAACCCAGCATTAAAATAGAAGACTTTGTTGTTCCATTATTGAGAATCTGTGTGGTGTAGTGGTTAGAGTGTTGGGCTTGGATGGCAGATACAGGGTCCAGTCCTCACTCAGCCATGGATTTCAGTGGATGACTTCAGGCCAGTCAATGACTTTGAGCCTAATCTACTTCACAGTTGGGAGGAAAAAATTGAATGTAGGATTGAGACACTCCCCTGGGTTCCCTGAAGGAAAAAACGGCAGGATAGAAATATAAATAAATTAAATATTAATCTGGTAATTCACAATTATATAAACATTTTAGTAAGCAATCTAATAAAATTTTTATGCTTAATAAATCTCTTCCTTGCTTAATTGTTTAAGTTGAAGGAAATAGCACCTCTTGTTTGTTTATTACACAGGCAGTTCTCAGGTTATGATTCAGTTCCATTTCTGAGAAAATGATAATTCATCTTTAGGTCAAATTTGTATCTAAGTTGGATCACATATAGTCAACCATCCACATTTGTGGGGATTAGGACACAGGACCTACATGAAAGATTTCCCTCTCCAGATGGGGAAGGAAGGCATGCTTTGGAGGGCCCCTCTCTCCCCTTTCACTTCCTCTCTCTCTCCCTCTGTGGTGATGACAATTTTCTACAGTTATTTTTTAAAATTAATCGGCTTAATTTACATTTTAAATTAATAGGCACCTCATAACTATGGATTGTTTGTATTTCAGTCATATGTAACTCAGGGACTGACTGTATTTCTTTTCTGTATGACAGCTGAAGCTTCACCCAGGCAAACAAACCTCCCACTAAGAGTAGATCCATCTTATTTGGATCCAGTCTGTTTGTTGACCTTCATCCAGTCCATTATCGTGGCCATTCACTGATTCAGTACACTCACTGCCTCACCTGGATTTGATGAAAGGGAGAGGTAGAACTGTGTTTGATCAACTTATTAGAGACACTTTAGGCCAAGCCTACAGAAAACCTCCAGTAGTTTCATGTATATGTTGAACAGAAGAGAGGAGGGGTGGTCAGACTTGCTCAATGGAAGAGCCACATGTGGTCAATGCCAGATGTTTGTGGTGAGCTGCAAAATAAGCTCAAAGAGCTGCATGCAGTTTGTGAGCCTCTATTTGGCCACCCCAACATAGAGGATAGAATAAAGCCCTGTATAATTGAGTAGTGTCGTTGCCAAGCTACAGAGCAATAATCCATGGCAAACAGTGACCTGGTTCACGCATTTACCACAATCCACTCCCAAAATACCTCTCTGCATTTCTAATCTGAAGTAACAACAAAAAGCAAAAACCCAATTCATGCTTATCTAATAAGAAGTATGCAGGACATGATTTCTCAGAAATAACCATGGGCAACAAGTTTTGAGCGTTTCCATGTTTTACCCCTTTGCATCATTATTATCACCATCATCCATATAGTCAGACACCCATATTCAGTTAGGGTAGGTGATTCTGTTCTAGCAACGATGCACAGTGTACCGAGAAGGAAACTAAAGCAAGTGAATTTAAGTTCGTGAATGCAAAGGAAAGAGTAGAGAGATACTACATGACAGAAAATAATGCACTAGACACAGAAATAGATGCAAATAATCCAGACTTATGAGAGATTTTCAGCACCCCTACCTACCAGAGGCACGTGCAAAAGTAGACACAGCCCAGATCCCAAAGTTATGATTAAAAGAGAAAAATAAATTGAAAAAGAGCTTAAAATAGCTATTAAATATAGCCAGACCTATCTTGCTCATTCCTTTTGGTATTTGCATTTTATGAGCTGGTAATTGGCTGGCCTGCAGCCCCCTTACTCGCACCTATTTTCAACTTAAGTAGTTTGCACATACATAGACACTGCTGCGAAGTACTTATAAAAATCAGACTTTTCTAAACTTCCAGTGAAGGATAGAGGGACAAAAATACAATTTAGCCTGTTCTACACAGGGAGAACATATGATCAGAGTAATTTCAAAGAAAAATTGGTGATTGGGTATGGACACTCCTTCCTCCCCACGTTGTTACCATTATCCCCATGCCTTACTTGTGTTAAGTTGGACAACTGTGCCTATTTAAGACATCTTGGCATGTTAGTATCGCACTGTGCTTTGCCTTGTGCCTGATAAATTTAAGCTCTAGTGGAAAAGGAACAAAGAGCATGCATCAAGCTCTCTATACCTTTTTGCAGATGTGGCTTGTTGGCTGACTGCTTGTTGGTGTGACACTTACGTAGCAGTGCATGTGCAGCCCAGAGCAAGCATATACTAAGCCATCCTGAGGCAGTGGTTCTAAGATCAGGTTGCATGTTTACAAAGTGAGTCTCCACCTGCTCCACCTAATAGGCAAGTTGCCTTTGTTTTTGTACAGAGTATTCTCTGAATTATTTTTATTGACTCTTGTGTGTAGGTAATAAATGTAGTGAACTATGTTTGTTTGAATTTCCTTGGCTTCTCAGCATCTGGTTGGCATCGTGCAGATCCAGTATTCCTGATCTCTGAACTACAGACCCTCACATTATTTCCCCCTACTCTTTCCCATGCGAATTCCCCTGTCATGTATTTTTCTTTAAACCATGGTGTTACATCTGCATGAACACTAATCAGAGTTAACCTCAAAAAGGATACTGTTGCAGCCACTGTCTAATGCAGTGGTGGCAAACCTATGGCATATGTGCCGCAGTGGGCACAGAGAGTCAAGTCGCCCCAGCATTGCCCCAGCAGCCAAGCATTGGATAACAGTGCACATAGGGGCCATGCACATGCCCGGAAAGTAGTAGCTGCACCAGGCAATGGCGTCATGAGCCGTAACTCATTGGCTGCGACTTTCCAAGCTTTTGCATGGCCGGTCAGTGCGCTGCCAAGGATATATATATATTTGCTTAGACTGGCTTTGAGTTGTTTTTCTAAACTAAAACTTCAGTATTCAGGTTTTATTGCAGTGTTGACACTTTGCAATAAATAAGTGGGTTTTGGGTTGCAGTTTGGGCACTCGGTCTCTAAAAGGTTCACCATCACTGGTCTAACATAAGCTTCCATTCCTCCTTGCAAGGTTGTTTGGTTAACTGCAGCTAGCATAAAACTAACCCAGAGTTAAGTCAAGATACTGAAAGAGGATGGAAATTTGGAAGCAGGAGAGGGAATGTGCAAAAGTGAAGCACATTCATCTCTCAGATGTGATTGAGAGATTATGAAGAGATAAGGAAGGGAGATCAGGATGGTTACACCTGTACCTGGGCCTTCATGAGGAAGTTGCTGTGCTGATTGAGCGTGCTTGATTCCCTATGGAAATCGTGGTCAGCAATCTCTTCTCACAAACCCCTATGATTTTACTAGGTCCATCTGTAGACTTAGAAGCATATCTGCACAGCCATGAGTACTAAATAAGGCTTTTTCACGAACAGTGTAGTGTCCTGTGCATGGTAGAAAATTCTCTGCTTGTGTAGAATCACTCATTCCTCTCAGTCAAGACAGTCATATGAGGAAATAAAAATTATTTTTAAAACATATAGTCAAGTAATTGGAATATGTTTTAAACACAGAAAATACTGTATACTATAAAAGGGAAGTCAATATCTAAAGAACATACCCTCTTAGAATATCCGTTTTCTCTTTGTTCATCTATTAGAATAGTTTTGTCTATTATTTAAGCTTTTATATACTGTTCATTAGCAACAAAACTCTCAGAACGGCAAACAACAAAACCATATAAAAACAATATACAATATCAACAATTATTTCAAAGTCAAGTGCACCTGTCATAAGAAGACATACCTTTTTAAGAAATTCTTTAATATCTAAACCCTGCTGGGAATGCTGATAGATCTTCATTGGTTTTACTATATTGTACTATTACTATGTTTTAGGATTTTATTCTTTGAACTGTTCAATGTTGTTTTATTGTGTGAGCTACCTAGGGAGGCCATTCTGGCAGTTATAGGCAGCATATAAATATGTGAATGCATAAATAAGTTTTCTGCACAATCAACAAAATTCAGAACAGCATCACCAATGATTAAGAAGAAATGAAACAATACATAATAATTTAACAACTAATCCATATATATGAATAACCATGAAAACCAATCTAAAAGAGAATAATCATATATAACAATTAAAATAGCAGGAGAAAAAAAGGTTTTAATCTGGTGCCAAAACATAGCACCAGGCATACTTCCCTGAGGAGCTGGTTGCATGATCAGGTCACAGCCAAGAAGACTACCTTCTTTACTTATTTTAAAGGTGGCTCCCAGAGAAGGACCTCCATAGATGATCTTAGGATCCAATTAGGTGTATTCAGGAGGAGATATCCCTTTAGATATCCAGGCCATAAGCCATTTGGGGCTTTAAATGTCAGTTTGAGCACCTTAACTTGGGCCCGGGCTTCATTTGGTAACAAATGCAGATGATAAAGCATCAGGCTTATTTATTTATTTAGGAGGCTCCTATGCTGCCCCATTCGCCAAAGCCTCGGGGCGGCTTATATGCTTGTGCCTGCCTACCTTGGTCAACAGACGGGCTGCTCTATTTTATACGAAATGAAATTTCCGAACTGTTTTCAAGAGCATCCCTACATATCCTCAGTATAGAAGTATATATTTTTCAGTTATTGAAACTGCCATCCTTGTATAGTGCAGTGCCTTTGATCCAAGGAACATATTATTAAAACAAATTACAAAGTTGCTGTTGTATTACAATGTTCTATTGCCTTTTCTGATGAAGAACAATTGGTATTATTTGACACTCTGGAATTAGAGGCAAGAAACAAATAACCAACCAAAGTGATTTTGTCCAGCTGGAAAGCATTTTGGAACTAATTTGAAATAATGTTAGGATTTTTTTTTTGGTGGCTTCATAGATTCATGTAGATACTGGCTTGGTAATAGATTTATGCTGGATAATCTGCACTGGTGAAAGTTGACCTCCTTGTCCCATCTCTTCCCTGGATACCCTTCCAGCCCTCTGAAAAGTTATACAGAATTTCAGGAGACCCTGCTAAATGGGGAAAGCTGGGAGGCATGATTGGATTTTGAAAAATTCAGCCAAAGGACCTTTCATAAGTGGTTCTCTTCCTCTTACAGATGGAAACTTTTGATTAAACTCATTGTTTAAGACAAGGAGGACATTGTTTAGTTCTATGATACCCTTTACATACAAAGATAAATAAATGAAATGGTCCTTCAAGAAACAATTTTCTTGAATTAGCAAGAATGTCGCAAGGATTCTCATAGCAGTTTCACCAGACTGCTTTAAATTGTCAAGATTTCCTATTTACATAAATGACCCAAAACCTTGCTTGTAAAGCACATGCCCTTGACTAGCAGCCAGAATATTCACATGACATTGTTTTTACTCTAGGCTATATGCTGACTTGCCCAGTAAGTAAATTCTGTTATCAGCAAAGTCCTTCAAGAAATCTGAGTGTATAATTACTTTAGATTTAGGCTGCTATTTCTGTCTTCCAGGTTATATTTCCTTGTATTATATCCTGACAGTGGTAACTTTTTCATTTATTTAAATAACTCTCCCACTACATTGGCTTTAACACTAGTCTGGAACATCAAAAATTAGCCGGGAGCCGTCTTAAAAATGGAACTTCACTGGCTACATTTTTATGAATCAAGCTCTTAGGTTAAAAAATCAGGAGCAGAACCAGAACAAGATGGCAACCTTCATCCTAAAAACCAGTTTGTAAACTGGTTCTTGGAGCACTTATACATGTTATACAACAGTGCCCATGACAAGGATTTCAGAGGCACTTACACCGGTTGCATCTGCATTAGGCATGGATTTAGTCTGAAACAAAAACCTTTTGTTCATTCCATGTTTTCTACGTTGTCCACTCATCTTTTTTCAGATTTTCTTTGTGGCAATTTATATTAAACCAAAATTGCAGTGCCTACCTATTCAGTGTGGATCAGCAAGGTGTTTAGGAATCCTTACTGCTTTGTTATGTCAGTTTCTTCTTTGCTTCTGCTTTTTTTAAGGCTAGTTAGGAATCCTCCTCCTAGAAGCACCCATGGTATCTATGTGTACCACTTTTAGGGCTGACATGTAACAAGTTGCTGCATCTTGAACCCTGCCCCTGCTTCTTTGTATATGCATCTCTTCCAATGCTAATTGTCTGTTAAAAGTACCATTTTGAAATTGATTTGTAAAGAATTTGATTTCTCCTTCACATTTTCACTTTGATTATAGAGATGTACTTAAACCATTCTATATATCGCCTATATATCAGTAATGTGAGACAGAAAACCATGTTCTTCTGTTCTCTCCTTCAGTTCTGTTTGTCTAAAACGGATAAGGAACAATATGAAAAAGAAGAGAGACCAGAATCCCAGCAGGAAATTCTGAGAAGAGCTGCTAAAGACTTGCCTGTTTATACTACCACAACATCAAGAGGTTAGTCTATAAACAATCCCAGCATTTCAAGAACTCTTTCTGGCCACAATGATATTATCAAGTTTGATTACGACCATTCAACAAGAATGAGCATATAGACTGATGGCTTCCCGTGCTACTGAATTCTTGGCAAATCATAGTTTGGCAGACCAGCATACCTGGAAATCATAGTTTGGACATGGTTTACACTCTGAATTTGTAGGCAAATTATAATTTTCTGGTGTTAGACTACTTCCTGGGGTGAAGCTATAGTACAGTGCAGTATGCTTTGAATGGCAAGCCATGGTATACTGTGAACCTGAAAGTAAAGGAAGTAATTGGCATGCAAAAGTGGAGGAGTGTGGACAGGAATGTCCCCAGTTGAGACTCAGGCCTTCTCATAATGGTAAACCATGGTTTGGCATTGTATCTCAACTGTGATTAATCATTAGAGTCTTCAGTCTAGTTTTGCCTGTTTTTAAATAACCAATAGGCACACACATTTTCTAAAAGGAAACTAGTTCTGGAATTAAGCATGAACATTTACAGTGGTACCTCGGCTCACAAACGCCTTGGTTCATGACCAAATTGGGTCGTGAACAAAAATTTCAGGAAAATTTTGATGTGGGTCGAGAACTCCACATTGGGTGGCGACCAAGATCGCAGCCATCTCCCCCCCCCCCCCCCAGGGGGGGGAGGGCCCCGATCACAGTTGCATTCATTCGGGGAAGACGGGCTTGATCACGGGCACACTCCTGCAGGAAAGACGGGCGCAATCTTGGCCATCTCCCCCCCCCCCAACCAGCACGATAACGGCCATCTCCCCACTTCCCCCCAAGTGAGGAGATGGCCATGGTCGTGCTGGGTGCAGGGGGAGATGGCCGAGGTCATGCCTGTCTTTCTTTCAGGAGTGCACCCGTGATTGTGCCCGGCTTTCCTGCACAAGCGCAACTGCGATCTCAGCCACCTCTGCCCCTGCCAGCATGATCGTGCCCATCCCCCCCCCAGCACGCCAGGATGACAGGCGCGTGCAGGGATGACAGGCATGATCTCGGTCGTGCACGGGGGGCAGGGAGAGATAGCCGCACTTGTGCTCGGGATGGGGAGGGGGAGATGGCTGTGATCTTTGATGTTCTTTGTCACTTTACTTCACATTTTTCTGATTAACAAAAAATGGTTACAGAACGGATTAACCTTATTTACATTGAACCTTATGGGGAAATTTAACTTGACTCATGACCAATTTGGGTCACAACCAGAGTCCTGGAACGGATTAAGTTTGTGAGCCAAGGTACTTTTTAAGTTCTAGAAAAACAGCTGTGTGCATCTAGATGCCTCTATTCAGACACTCCCTCTGTTCAGCATTTCATCTGTCCAGGATGTGTATCTTCAGTTCCTGTTCTTGTTAGTGGCAGTTCCATCTTTGTAATACTCTTTCACTTCCATTATATTTGCCTGTACAATACATTTAGTGTCATTTGATGAAGCAGCAGTCGGCAGAACCCTTATGTCATAATTGACTCGTTCGTTTTGAGATGTAATCAGTTGTAGCATGAGAAGCAGATACTCTCTGAACTCTGTATTTTTGAACTTAACACATTCATATTTAACACACTGATTTTAAATAATTTAGCCATAAGATACTGCGACCGATGCCAATTAATCAAGCCTGATCGATGTCACCACTGCTCTGCCTGTGACCTGTGAGTATCTACCAGTGCTGGGGTAGAATAGATTTGCTTGGATTCATGAATTTCTGCATTTTTTGTGACAAATTCATCATCAGAAGTGAAGCTACAATGTTTTTTTTCCCTAGATGCACAAAATCTATTTTCTAACTAGGGAATTAATCACACATTTTATTTTTCTATGGACATCGGAAATAAGATTCATAAATACATTTATGTAACCATGAGTCATTCTTACTCCCACATAGTTAGAATAAGGGAAATATGAAATAAAAACAAATGAACAATTTAGAATCTTAATTCTCCTCTTTTACTCCATGACAGTATTAATTATGCCTATATCATTTTAATAAGCTTTATTTGCTTGAGCATATTTTCTGTAATATGCTTACATTGCCTGCATTTGCACATCACCTAAAGCCAAAAATTATGACTTAATAACCAGGATATGAATGAGCAGCATGCTGATGTGTGCTCATTCACTTGTACTGCTTCTTTCTTTGCATAAGCAGATGAATTAAGGGGATCACTTCTTTCAGTGGCCAAATTGAAAGTTATGACTTAGTGTGCCAAAGCAAGCTCAGATCCGTGAGATAATTTTAAACCAGGGATGTCCTTATGAATGCTGTTTTCTTTGGAGACACTATAATAGCTGTTTCTAACCTGAGTTCACCTAGAATTCCTTTTATATTTTTACTAGTTTTACAATATGAAATACAACTAAAAAGAACTTACAGCTAAAATAAAAACATACGACATTAAACATACAATTAAATTAAATCTTTAAAATACTGTGCATCCTGCCACTGGGGCCATAGGATACATGTTACAGAAAGAAAAACTCTTTCAAAAAATTTTCAGGACATTTTCCCATTCCAGAATTGCAGTGATTCTTTCAACAGTTCAAACAGTTCCCTTACCTTGTCAGGATGTAATTTAATATGTGGTATATGCCTCACTTGATTTGCTATATAGTATAACTTTATATTAGGGTACCCACCCATCTTTTGTGATCTGTGCTATCTTTTTTATTTATTCTTGCTTTTTTATCCCCATTGCAAAGCTTATGAATCATAGCTTGCCATTCTTTTAATTCATTATCTGTTATCTTAATAATATAAATAAAAATATCTTAGGCAATATTTTCATTTTACTTAACACTATTCTACCAAGCCTCTCACAAATTCCGAACTACAACTGGCCATGCTGGCTGGGACTAAAGGGAATTATCCCTAAAAATATAGATGGCAGCAGATTGGGAAAACGTTTGGATGCCATAAGAAGCTATCTACTTCTAGGTTAGTTTACTGGTGCACAGAAAGAGTGGAATGAAGTGAGACCGAAAGAGCTGGATATACTAGGATGGTGATTGTTTAAGTTCTGTTTTATTAAGCCGTAATTTTGCTTTTATGTGATGGATAGATGCAACCATTTTGCTTGGATGTTATGCATGGTAGGTCAGTTATAGAAAAACATATGTAATCAGTAGTACCCAGCTGCCCCATCCATATGGATCTATCTTGCCATTAAATTGCTAGATGGAATGTATGTAGAAATATTTTTTAGCCTTATAGCCTTAAAACAAAATGAGTGAGTAGTTTGCCAAAGGGGAATATTACATGTTGTGCAAGAAGCTTTCCTTTATTTTTAAACTTTCTAAGCCATGCTTCAGTATAAATTTTTCCTGTGTGTTTTTATGAAATGCAAACTCAATATATTAAACAAAAATATTAAAACCTAATAAGTGAGAAACAGGAGAAAGCATACAATAAAACTGAGAGTTTATAAGCCTGTTAAAACAAAAAGTTCTTAAAAAACATGAAAGTCAACACAAAGCAAACCTTTGAAAGAGTATTCCATAGGCAGGGTACTGTCACCAGGAATGCGGTCTCATTTAATGCCACCCATGCCTCCCAAAATACGTTGTTTATGTTAGAGAAGGCAAACTGTAATATACTCTGGCCCCAACCAATTTAGGAACCTTAATGCATCAGAACTTTGCATTTGCCCTGCAAATGAATCAGGAATTGTTGCAAGATACGGTATCACTGTACTATCCCTGCTACTTTTTTGTTCCCCCACAAGGGTTAGGGTTAGGGTTAGGGTTAGGGTTATTGTTCCATAGAGGGGAACAGTAGCCAATCTAGGACAAGCTGAATGCTTCCTCCCTGAGCCACGCCAATTTTTCTTTGTTTTATCTTGACTGCATTTCAGTCCACTGTTGATACAGTCAATAGTGGGTAGAGAAATCACATTGCTAAATTAGTGATAAGAAACAATGGAACTGGATGTCGTCATCATGCTGCAGCTGAAATACAGGCAGTCCCTGAGTTATGAATGTTCAAGTTACAAACAACCTGTATTTAGGCCTGCTGTGACGACTTTGCCAGGCATTTCAGGGAGAAAATCACTCAGATTCGTCACAAGCTGGACTCCACTAATGAATCAGAGGTCTCTGGGGAGACGCCAATGCTACCGTCTGGTCCAAAATTATTGGAGGAATTTCAATTATTGCAGCCCGATGATGTGGACAAGGTGCTTGGACGAGTACGTCCCACCACTTGCCTATTGGATCCTTGCCCGTCTTGGTTAATAAATAACTCCAAGCACGGGATTGGGACCTGGATCTTGGAAGTGGTTAACGCTTCTCTGAGGGAGGGTCGAGTGCCTGCCCCTTTAAAGGAGGCGGTAATACGACTGGTCCTGAAGAAAGCGTCACTGGATCCAGAGATGGCCACTAACTACAGACCTGTGGCCAACATCCCGTTTCTGGGCAAGGTGTTGGAGCGAGTGGTGGCGGGACAACTCCAAGCACTCTTGGATGAAACTGATTATCTGGATCCTTTTCAGTCCGGCTTCAGACCCGGGTACAGTACTGGATCTGCCTTGGTCGCCCTGTACGATGACCTGTGCAGGGAGAAGGACAGGGGGAGTGCATCCCTGTTGGTTCTTCTGGACCTCTCGGCGGCTTTCGATACCATCAACCATGGTATCCTTCTGGATAGGCTAGCGGGATTGGGGGTTGGAGGCACTGCTTTGCAGTGGTTCCGCTCCTATCTCAACGGTCGATTCCAGAAGGTAGTGCTGGGGGACCATGTCTCTACGTCATGGCAGCTATGCCATGGAGTACCACAGGGCTCCATTCTATCCCCTCTGCTATTTAACATCTATATGAAACCGCTGGGAGAGGTCATCAGGAGGTGTGGGCTGCGGAATCATCAATACGCTGATGATACCCAGCTCTACCTCTCGTTTTCCACTAATCCAGGTGAGGCAGTGGCTGTGCTGAACCGGTGCTTGGCCGAGGTAATGGAATGGATGAGGGCCAATAAACTGAAACTCAACCCAGACAAGACGGAGGTCCTGTTGGTTGGCGGATCGGGCTTCAGAGAGGGTGGATTTGACCTGGTCCTGAATGGTGCAACACTCCCTCTTAGGGATAAGGTCTGCAGCTTAGGAGTACTCCTCGACCCGGAGCTTTCTTTGGAAGCTCAGGTGACAGCAGTGGCGAGGAGCGCCTTCCTTCAGCTTTGGCTGATTAATCAGCTGCGCCCCTACCTGGAGTACGACTGCCTGGCGACGGTGACACACGCGCTGGTGACGTCCCGCCTAGACTTCTGTAACGCGCTTTACGTGGGGCTTCCCCTGAAGATGGTCCGAACACTTCAATTGGTGCAAAATAGAGCTGCCAGGTTGCTGACGGGGACGGGGCGTTATGCTCACATGACTCCAGTCCTCCGTCAGCTTCACTGGCTTCCCATTGAAGCCCGGGCCCAATTCAAGGTATTGATTATGACCTATAAAGCCCTAAACGGCTTGGGTCCTGGCTACCTGAACGAGCGCTTACATCCGTATATGCCCGACCGCCCTTTGAGATCTGCGGGAGAGTCCCTTCTCCGGGAATCCTCCATGCAAGAAATTAGGAGAGTAAGTACTCGGAGGAGGGCTTTCTCTGCGGTGGCGCCCAACCTATGGAATTCACTCCCCAAAGAGGTCCGCCTGGCACCGTCGTTACTGGTTTTTCGGCGCCAGGTAAAGACCTTTTTATTTAAACATCATTTTAATTGTTAAAACATATGATCTGGCCAGGGCAACTTCTTCTTCCTTCTCTTTTCTCCTCCTATATTATTTATTTACTTATTTTATACTGATAATTTTAATCTTATATTATTATGTTTGTAACTCAGTGTATTTTTTGTATTTTTGTATTTAATGGTAATTTATTATGTTCTATTGTATTTCAATGTATTTTATTGTGTTGTAAGCCGCCCCGAGGCTTCGGCAAGGGGCGGCATAGAAATGTTATAATAATAATAATAATAATAATAATAATAATAATAATAATAATAATACCTATTAATTTTTTTAATTACCACTGAAAATCATAATTACCATAGAGAGAGAAGAAGCAACAGAAGAGAGAGGGAAGTCCTCCAAAGCATCATCAGAGAGGGAGAGGGAGAGAGAGGGAGGACTCCAGAGCATGCCTTCCTGCCCTGTTCATCTGGAGAAGGAAATTTCTCCAGCATTTCCTTTCTGCAAAGAGGGCCAACTTACATACACATTTGACCTAAAGATAAATTTCCATTTTCTCAGGAACAGAACTTGTTCATAACTGGGGACTATCTGTACAATTGTGGGAGCTGGGCAATGCAAACAGCAAATTAGAGATGTGATTTTGAACAGGTAAACCTTTGGGTTCTGTGCATTTTTCAGCTAGTGGATGCATGACTGTGGTGGTATGGTCAGTTGGATTTAGTAAATGAAAAATTATTATGTTTGCATATGTTTAGAATGAAAATTGCATATGTTTAGAATGGAAAGAACCCATAGGAGGCTAGGAAGTACATGAAAGAACAGTATAGGTAGAACGGGCTGCTCTAGTCATTTTTCTGTTCAGAATACCTCCCTCCACTTGGGGAAATGTATCTGTCTGAACCCGTATATATATAGAGAGAGAAAGAGAAACGCCCTCCTGAGTAGAAAAACAGATTGAGTGGGGAAAAGGGTGAAATAGTCTTCTTACTGTTCCTAGAGTCAGATTAGTTTGTCTACTTTTCCTAAAGAAGAGGGGAAAAGAAGAAAATGACTGTGTCTGCCTTGTACAGGTGTCTGCCTTGTAATGTTTCATTTCAGAGTCTGGCAACCAGTGCTTTTAAAAAAGGGGGGGGGCAGAACTCACATCTTGTTAATCTTTTGTTTAAACAATTATATATTCAGTTCTTAATATTCTGGCCTTTTTATTAGCAGGGCCAGTGGTTGAGAATTAGTAATGTTTTTCATTTTTAAATTTGATCACACTTTTACACTAAAAATTAAAAAAAGATTTTCAAATCACCAATTTTTTTTTAAAATAAAAAAATTATTTACCTTTTGCATGTAGCCAGTCACTTCACACACACCAACACTGTGTAATGAAACATAATGGTTTCCGCCCGCAGTAAGTACTCAGCACGCGACCACACGACTAATCACAAGCCGAGCAGCGCCATCACAACCAGCGCAGACACACAAGCAGCCCACATACATTTTAATGATTTTGCCACTGACCTGCTATGCCCGACAGGGCGATTCAAATTCATGTGGAAAAATTCCTTCGAAAAAAGTTGCCGGAATGCTGTTCCGGTGCGTTCTGTGACAAAAAAGCCCTGCTGGCAACTAGTATAATATGTTTCCTGGATGTTGAAATGCATTAATAGGATTTTGTTTAGATATACTTTCTGGAAAATGCATGCTGCTGTTTTTACATAAAATTTGAAGTGATTGAAATTTGTTTTTTTTCCCCCCAATAGATGTGTACTAAAAATGGATCATCATTGTCCTTGGTATGATTTTCAATCTTTTATTCTTGGTTTTGTGCACACATAGAGAAGTAACTAAACCAATACCGCTGGCTATGCTGGAAGAGTCTGGAACAGAAATAACTAGGAGTGCGGAAATTTAGATACTAAATCAGCATGGATTGGTCTGCTACTAAAATCTATATTTAGGTTACATTGATTTTTATAATAGTTTATATTCATCTTGCTTATTTGATTTATACCCCATCTTTTGTACCAATACCAAAACTTGGACTCAGGGAAGCTTACGAAACAATGTATAAGATTAAAACAATAAACACATTAAAACAAAATGCAAAATGCATCACAGTTACTAAATAAAAACATCCTAATGCAAGAGACTCACTGATAGGCCAAAACCCTCCTTGAAAAAAAGTCTTCGCCTTTCAGAAGAGCAAAACAGGATCAAAACCAGCCTTCCTTGGAAGGAAGTTCTGAAAATATAATCCTACGGCTACAATATTTTCTTATTAAAATTAATGGAAGTTTTACCATAGACTTGTGTAGCAAGCTGATCACACTGCAACTATCATCATCATCATCATCATCATCAATAATAATAATATGTGGTGACAGTTTCTATCTGTTGAATGACTATAAAACTGACACTTATAAAGAGCTTGAAATGAAGTGGTTTTAAAGCTGATAAAAAGATGGCCATTAGAATGAGAAAGAGAACTGGGAAATGTAAACTGTTATACAGTCCCACACACACATACATACACAAACACACCTCTGATACAGATGTGTGAATAAATAAAAGTAGTGTTTGTGGTGTATTTAATTGGTAATGGAATGTTTGCAAAATCTCAATGTGTAAAGCAGCATGGAGTGAGAGGAGAGAGGAAACTTGCCTAGCATAAAAGTACTTTTTCCTTTCCCACATTTGAGGAAGTGATCCTGTGCCTGAAGTCATAGTCTGTAAGATAACTTAGTTCTCCAGGTTCAGAAACAGACGACTAATTTTGGAGCTGAGAACACACATTCTGCCCTCACTTCCCCCATCACTCCTGGTATAGGAAGAACTATGTCAGCTACCTCTCTGAGGTTAGAAAGGTGATCTTGGAAAGGGGTAAAAGCCATTTCAGAGGGAAAGGTGAAGACTGCAGAAGTCAAGGTATGACATATTCTGTGTCTCCTAGGGCTTCCTTCCTTCCCCCCTCCTCCAAAATTCCCTAGCTAAATGACCAGAAACAGGCATCTACTAAAATGTATCAGTCTGTGAAACATTCTTCCATGCTTCTCAGCATTGTCTGTGCTGAGCTCTGTGTGGTTAATCCAGGAATGACAGGAAGGAAAAGGGGGAAAAAAAAGGTGATCCAAATGGCATATGAACACTTCGTCACAGGATTTAATTGTTTCTAGTCTGCTTTTCAGGATAAAAACTCTCCCAAGGTGACTTTAATTGGCTCGCACATAAATATAGCATAAGGGACTGCAGGTGGTGCAGTGGTTTAAACTGCTGTGCTGCTGGGCTGGTTGATCGAAAGGTCGCCAGTTCGAAGCTGCACAACGGGGTGAGCTCCCATTGCTCCGTCCCAGCTCCTGCCAACCTTGCAGTTCGAAAGCATGCAAATGCAAGTAGATAAAAAGGTACCACTTCAGTGGGCAGGTAACAGCGTTCCGTGCGCTTCGGTGTTTAGTCATGCCGGCCACATGACCACGGAGACGTCTGCGGACAAACACTGGCTTCCTCGGCTAGGAAATGAAGATGAGCACCACCCCCTAGAGTCAGGCATGACTGGACTTAATGTCAAGGGGAAACCTTTACCTTTTTAAAATATAGCATAGATTGTACTGCACTTTTATTCATGAACTATTTTATTCATATATCACCAGATCTAATTTTGTCTGCAGAATTCCTTTATATTGGAAACAGGATGGTAGTGGAAAATTTAGCTTAACTTGCTTACTTTTCAAGAAGGTTAAAGAACTGGGATTTACAGAAACATCTACCTCATTTCTACATGTTAATGCATTTGATCACGGACACTGAGAACGTATCCACAGTACTGTGGTTTCCAGTAATTACTGAGGATTTTTATGGTTATTTTGAATAAAACTTATAAAAAAAAGGATTTGTGCTTATATCCTAATTTTCTATAGAAAGTTACCATTTTGTATGTCTGCTCTTTGTCAAGAGAATATTGGTCTGCTTTCATTTTCTAGGCTTTTGTGGTACCTCCATTCTCATATGTGACCAGTTATTTCTATCCCTTTTGATTAGTAAGAACCTTTGTAAGTTGAACTCTACTGAGAAAAAAAAATCAAAGTAGTGCCAGTGTATTTGAATCGATTTCCATTTTGGTTTTATTGAGATTGAAAAAAACTGCTAGGGCACAAAACAGCCAAAATTGAGCATGTTGCAGTTGCTGCCACTTCTCCTGCTCTGCACAGGATACTCATAATTTTCCAAGTTTGGAAGCTTACATGTAACCTAATTACTTGCCTTGTGCCCTAAGTAATTTGATATCTGGCAAATCTACAAAATGTGTTCTTTTTATGCTACCCATTGATCAAGAAAGGAGGTTTATTTAGCAAATTTTGCTTTCTTTTCTAGGGTGAATAACTGCGTGGGATTTTCTAACTACAAGTTTTTCCTCCTGTTTTTATTTTATTCCCTCCTGTATTGTCTATTTGTTGCCGCTACAGTTCTTCAGTATTTCATAAAGTTTTGGACAGTAAGTTTTTTATTAGACCTTCAAAGTATGTGTGTGTCTTTGTATGTGTGTTATAATAGATATAAAAGCATCATGCTTTCATCTTTGGCATACTGCACAACCATCACCATAACTACCAACATCATCCGTTATTGAAGGAAATACAAATCTACTCTATAGTTTCATAAATTTTATGAATATATTATTTTAGATTCACTCGATCTGGCAAACTCTGCAGCAGAATTTGCTATTTTGTGGATTTCATTTCTCATATGGGCTTTTTGTGCATATTTTAAGAAAGCATATTATATTTGTATGACATCTGTTACTAAGTATATCAAGATTGTCCTCAATTAATTTCAAAGCAGATTCATTTTGAAAGCTTTACCGCTCTGATCCAGTATCATCGTTAACATGATATAAAATCACTCCTTGAATATTTCCTGTCAGATCAAGTGCAGCCTAAAAAGTCTATGTCACAATAAGCCAGATCATCTCTAAAGTGTTGCATGTTGTCTTAATGCTATGGACTTGTACTGCTGTGCTTCTGAAAAGAGCTGGCTAACATCCATAGAATATTATTTTTTATGTTTAATGTGAGAATTTCTCACATTACCAACATTTAAAAGTCTAATTTCAGAAAATTATGTATGTATATGCATGTGTCACATGTAAAAAAGGAAAAAGTAATTTTCGAACAAGTAAATCTAATATCTTAATGTTTCATGAGGGCCAATTACTCTTGCTTTGTTTATCTTCACAATGCCTGCTGTGACTCAGGTGAAGCACAGATAGATATAGGATTGGTTTGGATGTAGATATCTTGGCTTAATACAAGTAAGAATGAGTCATGCTCCAACACTTGTTAAACTTTCTTTGCTTCCTTCTTAGCATGTCACAGTTAGTCAGGACATGTTAATAAGATGTCAGAACCATAGTTCAGAAACTATGGTTACCAAGACTGGAACAACCCAAAATTATAAATAATGATTTGAAATTTATTTAAGATCCTGGCATGCTCTGAACCTGGTAAATATCACTTCCCAGTTTGGACAGAATGGGAAACTATAGTTAATTGAAGACTTAAACATTTTGCATTATGCAGAGAAAGCAAGGAACATGCAACACACACAGGAATAACATTTGGATCTTGGCTAATTGAGCTGAGATATGTACGTCCAAACTGGAATAAAGATTTGCCGAAAACCATCCTGACTGAACTAGCACTTAAGCATGGTGGGTGCATTTCTAAACCCAGACTTCTGTCGTTGGCCTATTTTGTGTTGTCTAAATGGGTACAATGGAGAAGAAGGTTAGCTTCTCTGTAGGTATAGAAATATTAGTTTCCTCTGTTTCTGGTTTGTGGGGAGGGGCTCAAAAATTTCTTCCATGTTTCCCAGCATTGTCTGTGCTGAGATCTGTGTGGTTAATCCAGGAATGACAAGAAGGAAAAGGAAAAAAACCACAAGGTGCTTCAAATGGAATGTGAACACTGTCACAGGATTTAATTATTTCTAGTATGCTTCTCAGGGTAAAAACTTTCCCAAGGTGACTTTCATTGGCTCTCACATAAATATAGCATAGATTGTACTGCACTTTTATTCATGAACTATTTTATTCATGTATCACCAGATCTAATTTTGTCTATAGAATTCCTTTATATTGAAAACAGGATGGTAGTGGAGAACTTAGTTTGACTTGCTTACTTTTCAGGAAGGTTAAAGAACTGGGATTTACAGAAACTTCTTCCTCATTTCTACATGTCAATGCATTTGATCACGGACAATGAGAAAATATCCACAGCAGTGTTCTTACCACTAATTTTGTATGTCTAACCTTTCAAATGTCAAGAGAATGTTGGTCTGCTTTCATTTTCTAGGCATTTGTGGCATCTCCATTTTCTTATGAGGCCAGTCATTTCTATCACTTTTAATTCATAAGAACTTTTATAAAGTACAACTCTATACAACTGAGGAAGGTATTTTAGTGGTGTCAGTGTATCTGAATCTATTTCTCTTTTAATTTTTATTTATTGAAATTGAAGTAAAAGCAGCTAAGGCACAATCCAGCCATTTTAACAATTTCTGTGGGACAGAATAATGCAGATGTTTAATTTCTGATATGAAATTAATAGGGCTTAAAATCCAGCTTTGGCTTGTGTCCACAGTTCTGCTTTTGATAAATTTGGAAACAGAAATGATGAAACTTTCTGATGCAATTGATGCAGCTTACTCAAATGTGACAAACTGCTCTTTTCGGTTGATCTGGTCACTATAGGGAAAAATCTAGACAGTTTAACAGTTTATACAGCTATAAAGATTGGTATAGAAATACACCTATTATAAAGGAGGAAATCTATCTCTGGGCTACTATTAATAGTAGACAATTCTAAGATTATTTCTTATGATAATATATTGGTCATATAGCTGTGAAGTACCAGTAATGATTAATCTAAAGGTTTATTCTCTAGAATTATTCTTTAGGGAGTGTCTCACTTCTTTCTGTTTGTGCATCTGTGTCACTCCTGTGCCGTGTTTTCCTCTTTTTTTCAGGAGGTGACTAGCTATTCTTAATTGCTTCAGTTTGTAAGATATGTGAGTTTTGACTCAATAACTTATTTGCCAGTCAAAAAGTATTAAACTTTTGCAACTTAAGTAATTTTGAGAATGGGTTAGGGAACGTGAGTCTCTTGATAATGGTACTAATCTACTCCCATTCGCTGTAACCAAGTTAGCCAGTGATTTGAGATGATGGGAGTTGTAATTCAATAACATCTGGACAGATTTAGTTTCCCCACCCCTGCTTAAAAACATGAGGATGTCTGTTGTTTCTTGGATCTACTGAACAGAATTTAGGCTAAGATTTTTGATGCAGTATTTTAATCTAAAGTATAAAATAATTTAAAATGTATGTGATAACATTGGCCACCCATACCTGCCATAACATTTCATATTAAGAACTAAATATTTCACAACTATGGTGTTCTCCTCCAAATGATTCATTCAAAGGAATGTGCGATAGTAGCCAGATAACCATACAATCAAAATATTCTGTTTTATAGATGGGTAACACACTTCAACAAAAACTTGGCATCACTATAGATATTCCAGGAGTTTTCTTGATTCTGTACATAACAATTTGGCAACAAGATAGATCTTGAAATTAGAGAGCAGTGGATAAAGCTCTTAATTTTAATGATGTGTCCTGAATCCACACCATTAAAATGACAACTCTCCAGCCTCATTCTGCAAACACAAATTCACCTTTACATGTCCATTCAGTGAACGTAGAGTAAGGCCTCTTGCCATTGAATGCTGCACGTTTTAGACCTAGTGCACGCAAAACCCATTGATTTTCTAATACCGTTTTTTTACTGTTTCTGAACACCAGCATCAAAGGGATATAGCTATTTAATAAACTGTCTTTATTTGCACAAAGCTTTGCCGCAGGAAATCTGCTGAGAATTGTCCAAAGGTAAAATGCAATTTAAACTGAAGTCTATTCTAGTGCCTTTTGTACATTAATTTCTGATAGTGGGTCACAAGATTATAATATATTTCTATAATAAATTAAAATGTATTTACTTAATTAAAATATTGTAAAGAACCTAAGGCAGAAATCAGTGCTCTTAAGTGTGTTGGATATACTGACAGAAAATCAAATGGATAATATCTAGGATGAAATTATTTCATTTCCCTTTTCAATATTAAAGGAGATCTTTTGAAAAAGATTGATTTTCGAACTTGTAACTAAAATATTTAATGATTTTTAAAATAATTTTACAATATATGTAAAAAGTTAAACTAGATTAAAAACATAGGCCTTTTGTCTCACCAAGTGACACTTGAACTCAATATAAATATTTTGAAAAATCATAAAACTCCCTATAATATTTGCCTCTTTACAGAGACTTAAAATTCCCTGAAGTATAACTGTATGGAAATCATTTGAGGCAGTGTCTTGTTTTTATACTTTAAGCTTTAAAAATATTGGTGGCAAACTTGGGTGCTTTATCTTCTCAGAAAGGAGCGGGGAGCTGTGTTG